ATATATATATATATATATATATATATATATACACACACACACACTAGCGGAATCGTTGCCCTCCGGGCGGCTCTTTCGCTAGGCCACGGTAGGACGCCACCTTCCGGGGGGCTTCACATTGTCTCACTGTAGTGCATTAATGTAGATCACATTTTTGGTTTTGCCATTAGCAGCAAGTACGTACAGATTTTTGCCAGTTACCACTCTGGAGCATCCTACATAGAACTGTCCATGAGAGAAGCAAGGAAACACCAGGTTTAGGCCAACCATCTTTAGGGACTGTCCCTGGTTTTTGTTGACGGTCATGTCAAAGCTCACTTTAACCGGGAACTGAAGTCGCTTGGTGAGAGGTATCCTTGGCATAAAAACGACCTCTCCTTTAGCTTTTCCTGTCAGTATTGTAGCTTCTAGTACATGTGTCATCATGTTCTTCTTGTGAGCGACTCGTCTTTCATTTTGAGTATGATGTCTCATTTCTCAAACTCTTGACCGACAATCAGGATGGCTACTTCATCAACTACAGGAGCAGTGAATCTTCTTTCATGTTCTCCATTAGGGGTCGTGTCTGCTTTGATTCTGACTTTGTACTCGTCAGAAGGCATGTTTTCCAGGGCATTTTTAAATGACTGTACATACGTGTTGCGCTCATGCAGCATTTCTTGGATAGATAGGACAATGTCATCAGACCTTGAATATTGCCACACCTGATAGTAGTCTCCTTTTCATGATCTCCCATGAAGTGGATTTGGAGGAACTTTGCCTGTTCATCTTCCAGTGGTAAGAGGGATCCTGCTTTGTAATAGACTTGACCCTGGACTTTGAATGTTGGTATGTATCCGTGCTCATGAACTACTCTGGTAGCTCCAAAGGATGTCATATGGAAGCATGAATTGTACTTCAGTATATTTTCCAAGAAGTGTTTTGACTCTGGTGTTGTTCCCAGCATGAGAGTCTTCAATGGTTGTGGTGGTTTTTCCAAATTTGGCAGTCGTACTTTCCCATGAGAGCAGGACAGTCCAGCAGATTCTCCTTTATACTTCTTTGCACCGCAGTGTTCACATTTCTTATCCATGTTGCCAATGACAACAGAGGGATACTTTTCATATTCTATCTCATTGTTATAGTTAAATGCTGCTCTTGCAAGTGGATGCCACTGTGTATTCTTTCTTAGAATTCTGGATCCCGCAGCTCTCTGTCTATTAGCATTCAAACGAATTTCATGAGCTTGATCATTTTCTAGAGAAGGCCTTTCTGCTGTTTGCTATCTGTCAGCATTAAGACGGGATTCCCTTTCCTGATCTGTTTCCTGTGACCGACTGTCCGCTGTTCGCTTTCTGTTCCCATTAAGACGGGATTCCCTTTCCTGACCTGTTTTCTGTGACCTACTGTCCGCTGTTCGCTCCGGACGGCTCATCCGCTAGGCCACGGTAGGACACCACCCTCCGGGAGGCTCCACATTGTCTCACTGTTCAGTTCCTTAAACGTTTTCTTCCATCAATAGTTCATTAACGATGTATGTAAGTTCCACCATGTTTTTCACTACAACGGTACAGCAAAGTATATTTTTTTAGCATTAAACTGTTAATATTTTATTGTCTAATCATCACTACATATAACATCATCCATCATTACTACATATAACACCACCCATCGTCACTACATATAACAACATCCATTATCACTACATATAACATCATCCATCATCACTACATATAACACCATCCATCATCACTACATATAACAACATCCATTATCACTACATATAACACCACCCATCGTCACTACATATAACAACACCCATTATCACTACATATAACACCACCCATCGTCACTACATATAACAACATCCATCATCACTACATATAACACCATCCATCATCACTACATATAACAACATCCATTATCACTACATATAACACCATCCATCATCACTACATATAACAACATCCATTATCACTACATATAACACCACCCATCGTCACTACATATAACAACATCCATTATCACTACATATAACATCATCCATCATTACTACATATAACACCATCCATCATCACTACATATAACAACATCCATTATCACTACATATAACATCATCCATCATCACTACATATAACACCATCCATCATCATCACTACATATAACAACATCCATTATCACTACATATAACACCATCCATCATCATCACTACATATAACACCATCCATTATCACTACAGAACGGTAAAGTAGTTTCCGAGATTCTCGTGCGGACACACATACACACAAACACACAAACAAACACACACATTTATTTATTTATTTATTTATTTATTTTTATATTTATTTATGTGTATATCTATTATTTTTTTTACAGGGAATATCCCACCCGGGCACAGGTCACTGACCCAAATCGGGGGCCTGGGGGGCGAAAATGTAATAATACTACTACTACTACTACTAATAATAATAATCTATATATATAAAGTTGTAGCCTCTGTCTGTCTGTCTGTTTGTTCACGAACTCCTCCTAGGGTTTTGGAGATAGACCCCCATAACCATATATATTCTGAAACTACATTACACAGGGTACTTGTATAAGTATATTTCATTTTGATCAAAGGGGGTCCCCGGGGGCACAAACCCCCCACTGAAAAAATTTTTCCCTTCGATTTAAATGAAATTTAAACCATAGGTAAATGATCAGAAATGATGCCTATTCACAAAATGTCAGCAAATTTCAATAAGATTAAGACACCCTAATGGGGGCTAAACCCCCCTATATTGAAAAATTTGGAAGCCCATAACTTGAGTATTGGAACCTCTATTATCACGGGCTTTTTCTATTAATTAAACGTAAAACAACAACAAAAATTACCTCTCTTTTATAGAAAAATTTGGCAAATTTAGACATTTTATCTATGACAAAACATCACTAGAATTATGGCAAGAAAAATTATTAGTTAATGCCTCTACTTTTTTAACATTTTCATTTATTTATTTTTTTTCAGACATCCATTATGCCACGGAAAAGAAAGTCCAGTTATGCAAATACTCCACATGCACAAAGGATGAGGCTTCGTCGTCAATCTGAAAGCTGTGATGCAAGGGAAGAACGACTTTCTAGGCAAAGACAGAGGCAAACAGAGTCTCGGCAAAATGAAACCTTGGGTGAGCATCAAGAAAGACAGGAGCAAGATAGATTTCGCCATATAGTTGCAAGAAGAAATGAGTCTGAAGAAGAGAGACAACAGCGTTTGATTGCTGAAACATTTCGCCATATGGTTGCAAGAAGAAATGAGTCTGAAGAAGAGAGACAACAGCGTTTGATTGCTGATACATTTCGCCATATGGTTGCAAGAAGAAATGAGTCTGAAGAAGAGAGACAACAGCGTTTGATTGCTGATACATTTCGCCATATGGTTGCAAGAAGAAATGAGTCTGAAGAAGAGAGACAACAGCGTTTGATTGCTGATACATTTCGCCATATGGTTGCAAGAAGAAATGAGTCTGAAGAAGAGAGACAACAGCGTTTGATTGCTGATAGAAACAGGTATCAAAATTTAAGACAACGTGAGATTCAAAATGCTAAACGTTCTGCATTACTGTATGACAAAAATGACCCATGTAACAAGGCTGCAATTGGAGAAATGACCAAACTTTGTCAGTGTGGCGCTAAGAAATTTACTGGAGAATCACTAGGAATGTGCTGTGGAAATGGAAAGGTTACACTGGATCAATTTCCACCTCTGCCTCAGTTATTTGAAGAACTGTTCACTGGGGAAAGTCAATTCAGCAAACACTTTTTGTCAAGACTCAGGGAGTACAACTCTCTGTTTGCCATGACCAGCTTTGGTCACAAAGATGCATCTGTCCAAGGTTGGAATCCATCTGTAAGAATCCAAGGTCAAATTTACCATCAACTTGGGTCACTGATGCCTCCTGAAGATAGAAGAGCAAGATACATTCAAGTTTACTTTTTGGACACTTTGGAAGATCAACTGAGAGCAAGAGGAGAGCATCAAAACTTAAATGCTGATATATTGGAGAGAATTACAGCCTGGTTAAATGAAAATAATCATTATGTGAGGGAGCTAAAGACTGGGCTAGAGCAAGTACGGCAAGGAAACATAAATGACAAGAAAATTGTAATTTGGGAAAATAAGCGTGCCCAGGGAGAACATGCTCGGCGTTTTAATGCACCAACAGGGGCTGAAGTTGCAATTTTAATGTCAAATGAGCCTACAGAAAATAGAGATATTGTTCTTCAGTTGAAACAAGGTGGATTGAGGAGAATTTCAGAGCTACATCGATCCTATGATCCTTTGATGTATCCATTGTTTTTTCCATATGGAACAGACGGCTACCACATACATTTTCAAGGGAGAAATGGTCGGAAAGTCACACAGTTGCAATTTTGCTCTTTCCATATTATGTGCTTGGAAGGCAACTCTTCCAGCAATTCTTGGTGGATGCATACTGCAAAATAGAAACTGAAAGATTCAAGTTTTTGAGAAGAGAACAGCAAAGTATCCGTGCTGAAAATTATTCAGATTTACGTGATAGTCTGCTTGCTGCTGGTCGTCGCATTGTGCTTCCAGCGACCTATACTAGTGGTCCTCGATACCTTCATGAAAAAAGGTCAGATGCGATGGCCTTTGTGAGACACTACGGAAGAGCAGATTACTTTATCACTATGACATGTAATCCACGTTGGCCCGAAATTGTTGACAATTTGGCTCCCGGACAAGAGAGTCATGATCGACCAGATATTGTTGCGAGAGTCTTCAGATTAAAAGTGAAAAAGTTTATGGAACATATGAAGAAGGGAATATTTGGTACTTTGCAAGCATGGCTGTACACCATTGAGTACCAGAAGAGAGGTTTACCCCATGCACACTTTCTTTTCTGGATAGCTCCAGAGCACAAAATCAAAGCCGACGAATATGATTTGGCAATTTCTGCAGAAATCCCTAAAAAAGAGCAAGATAAAGAACTCCATGATCTGGTCATGAAACACATGATCCGTGGCCCACGTGGTCCCCGAAATGAAGGATCCCCATGTATGGTCGACAGAAAATGTTTCGCGCAAGGCGCGAGTAATTCGGCTAGTAATAATAATAATAATAATAATAATAATAGTTGATAGTAAATAAATTTTTTAATAAAAAATAATAAAAATAAAAATAATAATAATAATAACACTGATAACAATAATGATAATAATAATAATAATAATAATAATAATAATAATAATAATAATAATAATAATAATGATAATAATAATAATAATAATAATAATAATAATAATAATAATAATAATAATAATAATAATAATAATAATAATAATAATAATAATAATAATAATAATAATAATAATAATAATAATAATAATAATAATAATAATAATAATAATAATAATAATAATAATAATAATAATAAAAATAATATTAAAGAAATAAATAAATGAATAACATCAATAGTGACAAACAATATACATTATGTATGTTGTGTTGTCAAAGTAAGAGAAACAATTGTGACCCTGAAATTGTGTGTAAAAATGGCAGAAAGTCAGATCGGCAACCTGGGACTTGGTCACAATTTTCGTGATGCCATATGGCAGCAGGGTCTACTATTAGACAATACAGTATGCTTCCAATATCTTCCCAACCGATGGTACCTCCCTGTTTGACAGCTGCCTACTTCTTACTATATATATGCTGATAACCACAAGGAAACACGAAAACACGAAGTTCCCAAGCGCTTTCGTGTAATTCACATCTTCAGGGATGAGTACAGACTAAGGAGTCGGTCGGTCGGTGATACGAAGAGAAGAGAGCATAAGCTCTGAGGGTGCAAGAAGGGTACAGTACAAGATAAGGTCAGAAGTGGGAAATATAGGAGGAGGTTAAGAGCAGGTGGGCTATCCACCTTGCGGAGACGAGGTTTTTGTCTTCCGTCAACAGTGCTGCATTAGAGGACTCTTGCGGTTAGGGGAGGCCGGTCTCAGCCAAGCTAAACTTAGTTGTTCTATTTGATGTTTCCTCGGGGCATATTATGTTGGGGGGGGTGCCTCCAGGTCCTTGTGACACTGGAGGGATGATCCCCATCTTTTTCGTTTTTATTATTTTTTTTTTTTTGGGTGTTTGAGAACTTTTTAGGTCTTTGTTTGTTTGTGGGGTCCCTCCAGGTCCTCGTGTGACTGGCGAGTTGTTCCCATATTTTGGTTCTTTTTTTTATTGTGTTTATAGAGGCTCTGGCTCTTCGTTATCAGTTTTTATGCTTCTAGGCCACCATCTGTGCGATGTGTTGTTGTTTTCCTCATTTAGTTGGTTTAGTATGGGATCCTGTTCTTGTTGGATTTTTCCCATATTGAGTGGGTCTATACCGTGTTTTGTGTGTATGTCTTGTACTGTTTGTGTGTATGGTGCTTGGTGTTTTGCCGCTCTTCTGAGGGCTATATTTCGCACTGCTTGAAATTTAAGTTTGTTTGTTCTTGCGATTGTGTTCAGAGGTATCGGAAGGTATTCTAAGTGTGGTCTGATCAGTGCTTTGTATAGGTGCAATTGCGTGTTGGTGTTTAATTGGCGGAATCTCCTGAGCTTTGTAAGTTGTGATTTTGCAATTGCTATTCTTTCATTGATGTGGGGGATTATTCCGTTTCTGGTTTTCTTGAGTCCTAATATTTTTCCGTTGGCAGCATATGGTATTTGTTGGTTATTGACAAAAATGGGGTAGGGGTTTGTATTTGCGATGTGAATTATTTTGAGTTTTTGGACATTGGTTTTTATCTTCCATTTTCGTTCATAGTTGTTTATTATGTCTATTTTTCTTCTTGTTCTGATGGCCATCATTTGTTTGGATTTTCCTGGGTACCTGACTATCTGTGTGACATCATCTGCATATGCTATATATTCTGATTGCCGTGGTTGTGGCATGTCTGCTGTGTATACAGTGTATAATGTCGGCGATATATTACTGCCTTGGGGAACTCCACTATGAAGGTTGAAAGTTGTCCTAGATGGTTGTCGATGATTAATTTGGCCTTTCTCTTGTCTAAGAAATTGCATAGTAGTGTTGTGATATTGGAAGGCATGTCCAATTTGATTTTTTTCAACTTCAATCCTTCATGCCAGACTTTATCAAATGCTTTTGACACATCTCTTAGAATTATATTACATTGGTCTCTGTTGCTTGCAGCATTTGCAATTGATTCGTATATTAGTGCTATTGCTGTGTTTGGTCTAGAAAATTTCTGAGTCTGTGCTTAACTATTTTTTCCAATATTTTACCGGGTGTTTCCAGCAGTGAGATAAGTCTGTAGTTCTCTGCTTGGGTATGGTTCTTTCCTGCCTTTGGTATGAGTCTGATTTTGGCGATTTTAAATTTGGTAGGAAAGAAGCCAGTGCAAGTGAGACATTATATATATTCTTAAGCTGTTCGATCATAGACTCAGGAATGTTTTGTAGTACGATTTTATTAATTTGGCTTATGCCAGGTGCTTTGTTCTTAAAACTTGCTTTTGTTTTTTTCAATATCATTTTGGGTTAATGGAGCAATTATTGGGTTATTAATATTTAATGAATTGAGGTTGATTTTTCTAGTAGGTTTCCATTTCTCTGTGTTCTGGCTCAAATATGTTCTAGTTGCCTGTTCTGTTTCTTGGCAGAAGCTTCTATTGTCTTCGTCGTTGATTCTGATATGTCTTTCCAGTATTCTCTAAATATTGGTTCTTTATCGTGTGGTTCTGTTGCCTTTCTACCGTTTTTGTCCTTTATGTAGCTAGTTTCTTCTGAATTAATTCCCATTAGGATTTTTATTTTTTTCCAGAATGCTTTTGGATTTCTGTAGTCTGCTTGTGTATCATTGATCAGTTTGTTCCATTTTTCATTGTGTTTGTTCTTGCTTATGTCTTTCAGTTCTTCTTTTAGATTCCTGTATAATATCCTGTTGTCATTGCTCCACCCGTGTGTTTTTGTGTATTCATATAGATTGGTGAATCTGGTTTGAATCATTTTCTCTTCATATGTTAATTGTGCATGTGGTAATGTACGGTATGTTGTTTTTGGGATGTTGTTTTTCATTGCTGTTATTACTTCCTTGTACCATGTGTCCAGTGTTTTGTCAATCTCAGTTGTGTCTTTGTTGTGTAGTAGTGTTGGTTCGTTGTTGCTAAGATCCGATTTAAATTTTTCCCAATTTGCTCTACTGAGTGAAAATCTTGGGATTGATGGAATTTGTATCGGGGATGTGGATAGAGTTGCTATTATGGGTAGATGATCACTGGTTGTTGTGGGTCCAGCCTTTAGATGTACGTTTAGATGGTGATGCCTATTGGTTAAAACAATGTCTGGTTTTCCAGAGTTACCGGCTGATACGTAAGTTTCGAAGTCGGGCCCGAGGTGTGTTATTGTCCCGTGTTCGATTAGATCATGGAGGATTTTTCCTCCTGGGTTTCTGTTATTGTGTCCTAAGGTTGTGTGTTTAGCGTTGAGCTCTCCTATGAAGTATGCTGGATTGTTTTGCCTCATTAGTTTTAAGATGTCCCCTATAAGGAATATTGGCCTTCTGAATGTTAGATATGAAGTTCCAATAGTTATTGGGCCTCTTGTTGTATTTATTTCGGCTGCAAGAAAGTTTCTTTGAAAGTTGTCAATTATTTTGCATTGTATGTTGTGTCTTATAGCTATTGCTATTCCGTCATGTGGTTCGTCGTGTATGTTCATTTGATGTACATGGTAGTTAAAGATCTTGATTTTTTCGTTGTCTTTTCGCCCGTGTGCGTTGATGAGAATGATGTCTGGGTCTATTGTGCTGTATATGTTAATGAGTTCTGTTTTTCTCGCCAGGGTCCAGGCAAGAACGATGTGTTGGATTATCTTTAATAACTTGTTTTGTAAAGTCGAGGATACCGAGAACATGGTGCAGGGTGTTTGTTGGCTCATGTATCTCCTGGCGAGTGTCTATTTCTTTCTTCCTTAAGTCCCGTTCTGATTTTCTTGAACTTAGTTACGTCTACCCTTTCAATTTTGTTATATTTGGTGTTTATTAGTCCTGCATTTTTCAACGCTTCTATGTAGGATTCTTCTACCCTGACATCTTCGTAGGTGAATTTGACTGTGCCTGCCTTGATTTCCTGCAGAAGTCTATCACTTGATATTGTAAGTGGTGTGTTAACTGAGTAGAGACGGATACCGATCTCTTCTCCTAGGTCTGCTGCCTGTACTTTGGTTGGTGAAGATGGGGGGGCACGATGGCCAGTGTGGGATTCTTTTCTTGTTTTCACTTTGGTTGGGTCAGCTTTGGCAGTTTGTGGTTTCTCTGTCTGCTGAGTTGTGGAATCTGATGATTTGTGGTGTGGTGTGACTGGTTGGCTGATTGGGTCTATTTCCATCACGGTAATACTCTTAAATACTTCTGTTAAAAGGGGCGTCGTCTGGGAATTTCACCTCCGGCAGATTGGCATAAAAAATTTCCCTGGTCATTTTTCCAAAGGATCCTGGCTTTGCGATGTTGTTGATGTGTGCATGAATAATAGTGGTTAGTATTGTGAATGGTAGTCCTTCGCTCAAATTAAGGTATGTAGGTTGCATGAGGGGGTTTTCTTTGGTTTTCTTCAAGACTTTGGAGGTGGTGTCTTGCAGCTTTGCAATTGCTGCATATGTTTTATTAGGATCGGATTCTATCCTCTTGTTTGCCTTTTCCTTTTCTCTGTTTCCTAATTATTTCTTTCCTTGTGGAACAACGTGCTGCCAGTGTTCTGTGGTCCCCATTGCAGTTCAGGCATTTGGGGTTATCCCTGTTGCTACATTCTCTGAATGTGTGGCCCACTGCTGCGCATTCAGAGCAGAACATCTTATCTTTTTGGGGATAGTTTATTGCTAGATGATTGTATTTGTAGCAGTTCCAACACGGTGTTATTGAGTAGAATTCCTCCTGTTCAATTTGGTGTTTTGATTGGTGGTAGTGGGAGATGCAGAGGCCATTCTCTAGGGCTTTTTGAGCCATGGAGATCTCTCCAAACCTGACTTTCATCATGGTAAGAGCACCAGGCATTAGCACCACCTCCTCAACTCTAGCCCATGGGTTCCTCTCTTCTATATTGTTAGCAATGTAGCTTGGTGTTTCGTTCAGTATGTTCCTGTCTACCCTTTTAATTACTACAGATTTTTTTTGCAAGGATTTGTGGTGGTATTACTATTTCAAAATCCTGTTCTTTTAATTTCTTTGTTGAGTCGTCAGAGAGCATGTTGTCCACGTCCTTTTCTTCAAGGCAAAGGACTATGAATGAGTCCTTTGCTTCAATCAAGGCGGCGAATTTGATATTTAACTGGGCACATAATAGTATGCCCAGTTCCTCCTTGCGTTTTTCGGATACGCCCCCTGGAGGGAGCGTGCCCGTATCCTGTTTCCAGTTGTCCCAGTCATTTGCTTTGGTCGTTCTCCGTGGCATCAGTCTTGTTGCGACCTGAAGAAAGTTACAGGCACCCTACCTATTCCAGGCGAGCAACCTAACACAAGAATTACAGCACTCCCCACCGCCACTTGCTGGTCGAGTGGTCGTGGAGTGGTTCCTGTGTCACTCTCCCATAAGCCCCGTTAGGGGAACCTACTTCCCTATTGTTGATAAGTGGTCACTTATAGGCGTGAGCTTTATAGTGTACCTGTTCGGGGGGGGTGGGGGGATTAAGGAATGCGACCCCCTTCCTAGGTGGACCCGCACGATCACGGTTACCCAGGAGGGCTCGGTGGAGGGATGGGTTCTGCTCCTACCCCCTTTCGTGTTCACAAACTCCTGGGGCGGAGGTGAACAGTTACAGGGGGGACCTAAGCACGAATACACCTCTAGGGTGCAGGTCCCCAGGACAGAGCGAAAAAGAAGGAAGATTAAAGGGAAAGCAGCCACTGGTGCAAGTAACACCAGTGGGATCGCGGACCAAGTCCGCTGCAGGAAGCGGTTACAGAGCACCCAACCAGGGCCTCCTCTGATCAGGAGTCACCCCTGATGAGTAGGGAGGAACAGAAAGGTGCGTTGTCTGGAACGAGCTTCCCAAGTGTATAAGTGATGGTTAGTGAGGTGGTCGTTTGCATTCCAGTCGTCAACGGTTAGAGACAGGCTGGCTGGCTTTGGCAGTGAAGGGTCTGGAGAGAGGTCCGCTTTGCATGTTTCTTGAGGGCTGCCTGGGTTGGTGGAATGGAGTCATATGGTCTCTGCTTGAGGGAAAAGAGATTTAGTCTTGCCTCATCTACACCAGTGGCTGCACTAGATCTGTCGTACATGTGGACAACAATTCTTTCCAGCTTCTGCAGGTCAACATCAGCAACTGTTGTTGGACATTGGCTGAGGTTGGTGAATTTTTCTGAAACTTCATCACAGACATTCCATGTCTGCCATGCAGATTTCTTTCCTTTTCCACGGAAGCCAGACACATCGTCACAGCCAGTGAAAGCATGAAAGTATAGGATCCCAGGGCATACAGTGGCTCGTCAGCAGCTATGACTGGGATCTAACCTGGGTTCAGAAAAGCCACTGTATCACGAACCTTTTCCATGACATGCTTGATGATTGACACAGAGTGTGCCTGATTTCGAACCAGGGGAAGCAGAGACGTAATGCTCACTTCAAATGACTAACTCCTCTTCTGTGCTGCACGGTGAGCTGCTCACGTGATGCAGACTTCATCAGCCACATCCTAAGTGAGCAAGACCTCTTCCAGCCAAGCATGCTCTTCCTGCAGGTGTGACTGGATTGACTCAGGTGCTGGCAATGACTGAGGTGCTACCAAGGGAGGATTGGGATTCTTCATAATATAAGCTGATCGGACATTGGTGAATGCCTCTGAAACCTCAGGAACTTTCTTGACCATCGTATCTGCATTCCGTCGGAGTGGCTCACGCTCCTCACCAGCCTGCTCAGGGCTTGGATGTTGGAAGATGGACACACTGGTCCCATGGAAGGACGTTTTGGCCGTAGTCGCAGTGGGGTTGTGGTCAATGTTGTCCACTGCTGAAGTCGTGAACAACTGCTTCTTCAAGATTGGTGAACACACCACTCCATCTTCCACGTACTGGCATACAACTGCTGCTTCTCCTAGCTGGGCTGATAATTGTAGAACTCTGTCATATGAAATGCTGATCCCATTTTCATGCAGCATGGATGAGCTGCCTCTTTCTTGTCTTAGCAAACACAGACATGCCGACGAAAATAGCAAAAGGTTTCTCATGGTCCTTGGAGTGTCTGTGGATTTGTGATCCTACCTTGTAGTTGGCAAAGCAGTTGTACTGTAAGAGCTGTGACATTAGGGTGTGTCATAGGAGGGAAGATCAGCTAAAACTAATGGCCCATCACTTTTTTGGTAGATTTTAGTGTATATAAACAGAAAATAATTTCAGTTTCAATATTTTGCAACCTTTTGCTTGGTAAATTTTAGCGTGAAATTTATCGAAAATCTAACGTACAGCTGCATTAGTGCATTACAATTAAATAGTGAACATTGCTTTCTGACTTCATTCTTTGTAACCCAACTAACAATATTTTTTTTCTGTTTCGGAATTCGTACATTTATAAGTTGATAATATTTTGCGATGGCTGCTTGTGTGTCAGGACGAGGAACAAATCCAGCCATCTCTCGATCCTTATCTTGGGTCAGGGAAGAGCTCCTGAAGTCGGAGTTGCCTTACGATGAGATGCTGAGATACGGTGTTTTTAATCAGAGCCGTCAGTGAAAAGAGCAAAGAACTTACACAAACAAAGACATTGCCAGTGATATGACCAAAGCTGTCTTGGCACAGTACCTCTGGCTAACGCTCAGTTCAAGCCTCGGTACCAACAAGTCAGAAAGAAGATTAGTGAGAGACTGCCACAGAGGAAGACAGAAGAGGAGAAGAGTTGCCGAGGAAAAAGGGCTTGAGAAGGCCAGGGTGAGGTAAAAAAAGCCGATGATTGGAGTCAAGCTGATTCAGAGTTTAATGACTTCCCCATGGCTGATCCGAGTGCTGACCAGGAGAATGGTGACTTTGTCCCTAACCCAGAAAATAATGATCCCAAACCTTCCAGGCATAAGATTCGAAATAGGAAAGATATCCCGAGCATAGCTCTGGCCAGCATGCGACACCGCACTGGTCTCAGAGAAACTGCAGAGATAGCAACAGCTGCCTGGATTGACAGTGGTTTGATAACACCTGATGATGTTCACCTGGTGATGAATCCATAACAAAGTAAGAGAGAGCTCAGGAAACTTGTCGGTAACCTAGAAGAGGAGTTTGATAAGGGGATAAGAGAAAATGGAATCAATTGTTTGTTCTTTGATGGGAGTAGGGATGACACTAAAGTGTTCATGAAAGTTGGAGATTCTGACAAGTTGTTCCCTGCCATGGTGATGGAGGAACACTACTCCTGCTGCAGTGAACCAGGAGGGAAATATTTGTGGCATTTCACTCCAGAGAAAGATGACATCAGGAAACCAGCTGAGATAGTGGCAGATAACATTGTGAACTGGCTCAGAGAGAGGAACGTAGACCAGACCCTGCAGGCCATTGGAAGGGACAGCACCAACACGAACACAGGGTGGCAAGGGGGGGGGTCATACAGTGGATAGAGCGGAAGATTGGGAGGAAGCTGGTCTGGATTGTTTGTGACCTCCACACCAACGAGTTACCACTCAGACATCTGATCCAGGAGCTGGATGGCAAGACTCTTTCAAACAACAGATGGTCTGGTCCTCTTGGCAAGATGCTGGACTCTGCCACTGAGTTAAAAATAAATCCGAGCTTTGAAAAAATCACAGTTGGCCCTCCACTCGTTGAGCTTGCACATACTCTCATTGACGACCTGAGTACTGACCAGTACTATGGTTACATGATTTGCAGTGCCATCAAAACTGGGGTCATGCCTAATAGACTTGCTTACCTGCAGAT